GGAAAGAGTTAAGATTTAGACAAATTAAGGTTGAGGTACTCAGTACAAATCCGAGTGCAGTTTTCCAATTGTGAGATGTAAACTAATGAAACTGAAAATTTTATATCATTGGTAAGATCTAAAATTTAGAGTCAGCATATATACAGTGTTTAAAATCATGTGATGAGAGGACATCATAAAAGGAATGAGCTTGAATAGAAAAGGGAAAAGGTCAAAAACTAAACCCTGAATCATCCAACATTTAGACTCAGGGAAATGATAAGGAACCAGAAAAGAGACTGAGAACAAATTGTAAAAGAAGTAGGTTTAAAACAAAGAAAATGTTGCTTCCTGTCAGCCAAGTGAACAAGGCGTTTCAAGACAGAGAAAATTATCAAATGTGCAAATTTTACTTAAAAATCAGTAAAATAAGAACTAGAAACTGAAGTGTGGATTTGGCAGCATGGAAGTCTTTGGTAACTCTTACAAGAGAAATACTGATGGAGTGCTGGGAGTTAAAGCCTGGTCAGAGTGAGAATGAGATTCCAGTAAGAATGAAGATACAAATTAGAGATAGTGAATATGACGAACCTTTTATATTTTGCTCTAAGGAAAGCATTAAAAAAATAGAGCAGTAATTAGAGAAATGAGTGAGGTGACAGTTTCTTTTAAGATGGGAGAAATCAAATTGGTTTATGCCATTGAGAATAACCAATAATAAGTAGAATATTAGTGATGCAGGACAGAGAATTGAGAATTGCAGGAGAAATGTCTTTGTTGGCAAGGAGGCGTGGGATTGGGTGCACGAATGAAATGGTTCACCTTAGATAGAAGTGTAGACCATACATATTTTGTAACAGGAGGTAAAGAGGTGGGTGGGTAGTTGTGGTGTTTTGTTCTGATTTTTCTCCCAATTGCTTTCCTTTCCATACTAAAATACTAACGAAAATCATTAGGAGATGATGAGAATAGGGAGGGTTTTTGTGACTGGAGAAAAAAGGAAAATGTTTTTCAGGGCAGTGTGATAGTGAGTGAACTAGGCAAATATAGTATGATTGATCTTTTGGACCCACTCTAACTTTCATGATTATATAAAGGGAGAGCAGTCTACATGATTATGTGCATTTTTCAAGCCATTCAGCCACACAGTTGTAGGCACTGAGAACGTAGAGGATAGGTTTTTTTCCCAGCATTGTTGTTTTGCAGCTGAGTGTAAGAAAGCAAGTGAGGGACATAGGGATTGAGATTATATGAAAAGGGATGGTTTAGATGGGATTTATACAGTTTCCATAAATTAAATCAAAAGATTATTTTCATCCTAACTACAAAAAATAACAATGCTGATAAACTACCAAGAAAAATAAATGAGAACACATAAAATGGTAAAGGGAAAGTGATACTGGGCAGAAAGATAGCTATAAAGCAGACATATACAGACTTTCTAAAGTCGATCATTTTCCTGGTTCCATTGGCACTCGATTCCATGCCTTTGGAATGAATACTGAAGTATTCCTATCAGTTAAGGATTGCCTGAAGCTGAAAGTATCAGAGACCTAAAATCTGATTTGGTTAAACAAGAGAGGATTTATTTTTCTATTACAGAAAAAATCCCAGGCCTAATATTCTGGTATCTAAATGTTGTCAATGTCCCCTATTTATCATTTGTCTTTCATCCACAAAGTTTTATTATAAAATTACATATGCATTCCAGGCCTGGAAGGTGGAAGAGCAAAGGATATCCTAATTTAATCAGCTTATATCCTTTCCTTTTAAGGAGATTTGGGGGGCGGGGCGTCACATACAACTTCCCCAGAAGAGACTGGGAAATATAGATGGGCACATTGTTTCTTCCAACAATATATTAATTTAATAAGAAAGACCAATTAGCCCTGATCTTTGGCCGCAGTTCCTATTATAATACTGGTCAGGATGTAATTAACCAATAGAAAGACCAGTCATGAAATAAAGAAAAATTTACTTTGATTATAAGTAAAAGAAAAGAACTTTAAATTCATGCCACTCTGAGGATTATTGTAGAGTCATTTTACACACAAAAAAAGGCAGTAATCAATAAGAAGTGTAAAAACAAGCTTGGGATCAAAAGTTATGAGTAATATACTTAATTATGTTCAGAGACAACACAATCATCTATATTCTGAATTGAAAAACTATGACATTTGATTGTTCTGCTCTACCTGTCTATCTTTAGAGTCAAAATATAAATATTCTAAACATTTTAGTACATGGTGTGTCATGTTGCCTAATAGATATTTTGTGCTATGACTGCAATTTCATTTTAGTATTAAACAATAACATTTGTAAATCATACAACATGTGATTAACATGTCTACCTTATTATTTTTTTTTAATATTACAATGCTTACAATTTCTGACAATGAACTTGTCTTGTTTTTAGGCTCCTTTAGGATCCAAAGCACCTGAGTGTTACTTTCCTAAAGAAGACAACTCTTACTTAGTCCAGTCAACTCATTACTCATCAGTGGGTATAACAGCTGACCTCCAGCTGAATACTGTAAAAGCTCGAATACAGCTACCTTCTGATCCCATCCCAACTCTTCATGTGGAGGTGAAATATCATAAAGATGATATGCTGCAGTTTAAGGTATGTTTAATATAAACTATCTCAATGCATGATTCATCTCTCAAGACAGATTTTCAATAGATTTGGTGCTTGGATTTTTCATGTAATATAAGGATTATTAACTGCATTAATGACATTTTAATTCTATAAAGTAAAGATTTTTTTTTCCTACAGAGCTTATAGCTAGATGAACAGTAAATATTTTTTTTTGTTTTTGCTAGCTTTGTGAATAATAAAACATATAGTGGTGGGCTTCCCTGGTGGCGCAGTGCTTGAGAGTCCGCCTGCCGATGCGGGAGACGCGGGTTGGTGCCCCGTTTCGGGAGGATCCCCCGTGCCGCGGGGCAGCTGGGCCCGTGAGCCATGGCCGCTGAGCCTGCGCGTCCGGAGCCTGTGCTCCGCAAATGGGAGAGGCCACAGCAGTGAGAGGCCCGCATAACGCAAGAAAAAAAAAAAAAAAACATATAGTGGTGATTTTTTAATTATTTAAATTCTTGATAAATTGATAAATCACTTAGAATTGGACTATGTTGGTTGTCCCATTAAAATAAACAAAACAGAAAAAAATAAACACAATAGGATGCTTACTGTTTCCATTATTTCTTTTTAAACAGTGATCTGAATTTTCTGGCCAATGCAATAAGAAATACAAAAGAGATAATTTCTTTCAATAGTTACACTTAGCAATTATTTTTTACTTAAGAGCTCCAAGGGAATCCATTAAGAAAACTATTAGAAATAGTAGGGTCTCATATATGACAAATGGAAAGCAATATCAACTCATACAATCAAGAAAAATATTAAGACCTCACAAGCATTTAACAGATGAAGAAATAAAATTTAGAATAAAATATTAAAGTACTTATACTCATTAAAAATAAAAGGAACTAAAGGCAAATACAAAGAATGGGAAAGCTAAATTTGAATAATCGTATAGAAAATGGTTTACCCTCATCAGCAAGGAAATAAATGACAGTTTGAGAAATAAATCCTTTTTAGTTTAACATATGATAGTATTAGAGTACACATTTTAGTGAGAATATTAATTAGTACACTAATTCTGGAAAACAGTTTACCAATAGTTTATCAAGGATCCTACAAATGTTAGAACACTCTGACCTAATATTATCACTTATAAGTAATGCACTGAGGAAATAAAGACATGAATGAAGATAAATTAGCATTAATATTCATTGTAAGATCATATATAAGGCAAAAATATTGAAAGAACTTTGTCTAACCATTAAGTGATAAATAATTTTATGTATGCATATAAGTGAATATTTAGCTTTAAAGTTCTCTTTCTGAAGATTTCTCATTGTATGGAAAAATGAATTATAAAACATTAAAACAGGTAAAATACAGTACATAATTTGAGTCCATTACATATCTATGTATGTGTATGGAATTCTATATAGATATATGGGCCATGGATACAAAATTAGGAATTATGATAAGAATTCTAAATATTCTTGTTTGAACCATTATTTAAATTAGTTAATGACATGTACCTAATATGTTGGCAATAAGAACTAAACATATCTGTTTTCATTATCTCTCTGTAATAGATTTATGACCCCCAAAATAAGAGATATGAAGTTCCAGTACCATTAAACATTCCAGCTACACCGACAAGTACTTATGAAAATAGACTTTATGATGTTGAAATCAAGGAAAATCCTTTTGGCATCCAGATTCGAAGGAGAAGCACAGGAAGAATTATGTAAGTGATTCAATTATTTGATATGAAGGATATTTTCACTGTGCTAGCATGTCATCACACCAAAAGTCGTTTTAGGTGTATGTATTAAATAATTTGGCTTATATTAACATTTAAAAACTAAAGTCAGCAAATCATTAACAGTTGGTGTAAATTTTTATTTACACTTTGGATGTGATGAATTTTATTATTAAATATCAGACCCATTCTTCTAATCAAGTTGAGAACCAAAACCAAGACTCCTATTGAAAAGCATGATGAGTGTTGTCAAAATAAGTAGTTGGAAATGTGTTATGTAAGTATTTTATTAGAACTATTGAAATTGGAGTTTTTTGGTCCTGGATTTTGATAGAGTTAATACTATCTTTGCCAGGAACTGATGAAAGGAAATTAAGATGTACACATATAGATATGTTTTTATGTCTAATGAATAAATATAAATTTTAAAATATTACCTTTATTTGGTAAAAAGCTCTACAAACTACAGTGTATTAAAAGATACTTCTATGTAATTTAAGCTTGCCCTGCTATCCTTTACAAGATGCTGTCATGATGTGTTTAGGTATTGTCAGTATGGATACAAATAATGAAGAAAATTATGTTTATATTGTTTTAAAATTTTGTTGTTATGATAATAGTTTTGTTCCAAAGGATAAGAAGCAAAATGATTTTGTAGAAAATTCCTGATGCAGAGGCATTATTTATTGTTATTCAGGAAGCATTATTCTTTAGTAAATACTTTTCCAAAATCATTAATATAAAAATTTGAATATGTCTCAAATTCTTTTTAATACTTATGTTTCCTTTCCCTGCCAACTTTCTTTTCTTCTTCTTTTATCTTCTTCTTGCAAATGACATTCTCTGTAACACATTTCTTCTGGATTTCTTCATAAACACATGGTTTTATAAATACAAAACAAAAGAAGAAGAAAATGATTGGGAATAGTAATAGAGTTTAGAATTAAAATATCCATTATACCTTATAGTTTATTTTGATATTGATTTCTTTTTATTCTATATGTAGTGAAAATTTACTGATTAGCTCAAGGGAACAGGACAATAAAGGACTCTTAATTCCTAGGACATATATTACTTCTAGGTCATATATTACTGATAACTTTATATTAATTTTATTTTAAAAAGCAATATATGTCTAAAGACAAACATGTAGCCATAATATGATTATGAATATATGAATATATGAAACATATTTTAGATATTCCTTAACTTAGCCAAAAAAATGTATTGGAAAAATTATCTATTTCCATTTGTATCTGGGTATGATAGGCCTATAGAGAAAAATACAATTGATTTTTATAACACCTAAGAAAGAATTACCATTATTATTTGTGATACTATTTGTATGTGTATACAGGAATAAAATTGTTTTCTTTTGTTTTCAGTTGGGATTCTCGCCTTCCTGGATTTGCTTTTAACAACCAGTTCATTCAAATATCTACACGCCTACCATCAGAATATATATATGGTTTTGGGGAAATGGAGCACACAGCATTTAAGCAAGATCTGAACTGGCATACTTGGGGAATGTTCACAAGAGACCAACCACCTGGTGTAGGTACCAATATTTGACTACCCCAAGTGGCAACTAAGACCATGATTCAGACCCCAGCCACTTCTTTGTAGGCCTGTACTTCAATATTGAAGCAATGAAAGGGGGCTAGAGATCCTAAGAGCTGCTAGAGTGTTTTTCTGAAAAACAAATGAAAAGTCACCATAAATTACAGGTGAAAGAAGAGGATCGAATGGATAACATCATTGACTACAGTGAGAAGTGAGGTTGTGACCCAATTCCTTACCCTCTCAACTGCATAGAAAGAACATTCAGATTCAGAATTCCCTGTCAAATACATGTTTACTTTCAGCTTTTAGAAAATAACTGCCTTCTCCTTGAAAATCTTTTCTACTCCTTAGATAAAGATTTGATGCTTTTTCCTTTGTTACCCTAAGCTGCAGTTGTTCATTTTTATGAGGTTATATTGCAAGTTACAGTTTTAGAAAATGTTTTTATATGTTCATATCACTTTTCCCAATGTTTTGTCTTATTAATGGTGTACATTTCATGAATATTTAATACATTGCACAATTGATATAAACTATAATTATTCTAAACATATAATGGAAAATACATTTTAATAAAAATACTAGCTCATTTCCATTTTCATATGTGATGTGAACTTAAAGGATATATTCAGTATGATATTATAAATGTGTATAATGTCATAACTGCTTTTTATTGTTAGGTGCTCATACAACTTTTATTTGTATCACAATAGTTTAGACTTATAAAGGCTGTTTTTCATTTATTCCACTTGAAAGAATATGCTCTTCCAAAATTTACCTCTTTAAAATCCTTCAGGGACTTCCCTGGCAGCCCAGTGGTTAAGACTCCATGCTCCTACTGCAGGGCATGGGTTCAATCCCTGGTCTGGGAAGTAAGATCCCACATGCCCTGTGGTGGGGCCAAAAACAAACAAACAAAAACCCTTCAACATTAGTATTGGCATTATTAGGTTAATATAACCTTGATTCTCAATATATAAATTTTCTTTCACATGCTAATCAGTTACTGAGATTCAGTGTGTGTCAGTGATATCAATTTGATTAGGGATCATCAACTTGTAAGCTTTGTAACCTTGACAAGATATTTCATGACCCTGAGTATAGATTTTCTATTCTGAAAAATGAAAAGATCTAGCTGAAAATGAAATTAAGTGCTTTGTATATAAACAACATATTATTGTTTAAAATATTATCAAAATATTATATAAACTTAAATATTATCATATTAAGTACTTAAGGAGTTTGAGTACTTTGATCAGTTTAATCATTTATAGAACATTCTATTATTTAAAAAGAAGTACAAATTTATAAATAAATTAAGACACATAACCTGTGAAAAGAAACCCAACTATTCTAAAACCAATGGTTTTTTACATAAGTTAATGTGGCAGTATTTGTGAGTGTTACACATTTGTATATTCATTCACATTCTCTAATGCAGTAATGCTTCAAATAATAAATTATTTTCTAAAAAAATGTGTTTAATTCATAGTTTATGTGTGCAATGAAGGAACATTTAAATTCCTAGGTTCAATCGTAGAGTGAATTTAAATATTACATTTACAAAATTCACATTCTATTATTATTTAAATATATATTATGTTTTTTTTTTAATTTTAGTATAAACTTAATTCCTATGGATTTCATCCCTATTACGTGGCTCTGGAAGATGAAAGCCATGCTCATGGAGTTCTCTTACTTAACAGCAATGCAATGGGTAAAACAATTTTTTTTAGTTTAACATATTTTATGTGACTTTAATAAAATAATAACATAGATTAAAATGTAATCATATTTTGGACTTCCAGATGTTACATTTCAACCAACTCCTGCTCTAACATATCGCATAATTGGAGGAATCTTGGACTTTTATATGTTTTTGGGCCCATCTCCAGAAGTCGTAACAAAGCAATACCATAGAGTATGATTGCACATTTTAAAAATATATAAAGTTTTTAATAATATAAAGTCATTCTCTTTGTTCACAAATAATTTTTTTTTCAAAGGTAATCGGCCAACCAGTCATGCCACCTTATTGGGCTTTGGGATTCCAGTTATGTCTTTATGGGTACAGAAATACTTCACAAGTTGAAGAAGTATATAATGACATGGTGGCTGCTCAGATCCCCTATGTATGTATATCAATTTTTAAAACGGTGTTAAATATGTCATCTATAAAATCAGAATGAAATAAACACATATACTTTAAAATTATTTTAAGCATTTGGCAAAAATCAGTGCTTGTTAGTAGCACCAAATGAATTGGATATGAGATTTTATTAGTAGTCTTTATCAGATGGATAACATAAAGGGATAATACCATTCCTTTTTCTTCTTTCTCACCTGTTCCATGACTGTGAGTTGTACTAAACAAGTCACTGTGCTCTTGCTTTTCTCTCAGAAGCTTTGGGTCTTGTAGGTAGTCAAACACATTTCTTTTCTTCTCATTAAATAAGAGTAAGAGTCCATAGGAACCTATTTCATCAACTAATGTGACATATTACAGAAAAAGAATTCAAGGTGAAACAATTATTTTTGCCATGGAATAGACAATAGTTGTCATATTAGAATACAGAATTAGTGGGCTTGCAGAATATCTTCTTCCCTCAGTGTTTGGGAAAATAAATATTCTTAAGTATCCAGAAATAATCACTTCCTGTGATTTTTATTTTTTAGGAAGAGTAAGGAATCTCAGGGATCCTCCTGGTAACATCTAAACATTGAAATCTAGAATGCTTTGTATATAAGAACTCATTCTAAGGAAAGTAAGAAGGACCTTTTTTATAAGACATCAGTACCTATAGTAGAATCCAATATATGGTTTCTGAATACATTATTATAGGGAAACTAATTGTTTAGGTTAATGATGTAGCAATACGCAAGTGAAAAAAATGTTTTAAAAAAGATTTTTTTCATTATTAGGTCTACTATGCTAGCCATATTTTTATAAATATGGATTTCTAGAAGAAGAAATTGTCTATTAACAGAAAATAATGTTTTAAAATGTTATTTAGGACTAAATTAAAGATTTCATAAAGCATTTATTACTTTAAGTATATTTGTAAATACCTACTTGTAAACAATATTTTACTTATTTAAGCTTGGGCTGTTATTTCAAAAATGACTTTGGTGGATAATAAAAGAATAATTTTATAATTATTGATGGATTTACTAATAATTCTTTCTTTCCTTTTGGCAATATTAGAATTATTTGAAATTATCCCATATTTGCTTTGTGTTTCCAGAAATAGAGCAATACCTATTTCTGTATATTGTACAAAATTCCAAATTGCCATTTAATATAATTTCATAACCTCATAAGTCCTTTACTCCTGTGTCTTCCTATTTCCTTTGGAAATTATATAATAAAAGATACTGATTTGAAAGAATTTGTACTTCTAAATCAAAATTACTATTTAATGAACTGTTAACAAAACAGAGCACTAACACGAACTTGCTCTTAGAATATTTTGCATCTATACATGCTACTTTTATTTCTTGAACATTATATTACTTGATTAATTCTCTTAGGAATTGAAACTTGCATATTGCTATTATTTTCATAAGTATAATAGAATGTGACAAACGCCCTCTATTGAATCTTACCCCACTAAAATTCTTATACCTTTCAGGATGTTCAATACACAGACATTGATTACATGGAAAGGCAACTAGACTTTACGATTGATGAAGAATTCCGTGACCTTCCTCAGTTTGTTGACAAAATAAGAAGTGAGGGGATGAGATACATTATCGTCCTGGTCAGTGTTTATATTTTATATTCTATCTGAGCCTTATTATCTTAGTTTTGTTAAGATTTCTTTTCTGAATGAGGAAGGAAAAGGTGTTTCAAAATATGAAGTATATAATTTTGGATTGTACTCCCAAATCTAAATCTTTCTTCCTTTAACACTTCATTTCATTTACATGGCTGCCACAGGCTACCTTCATTCTTAGGTGTATCCTTAGAGATTTAAGACTAAAGCTGGGAATCAAAGGCAGTTTGTTTTCTACTAATCACCCAAGCTACAGACTGGTCTCAATTTACAGACACTATCACAAAGTGATGATGGATTTTCTATTCCTATACAATTCTCAACTTATTCTCTGGGACTGCTTCTTATTCTTGTCATGTTTAAAAATTTTCCTTCGAATTAGTGATTCAGGGGCTTCCCTGGTGGCACAGTGGTTAAGAATCCGCCTGCTAATGCAGGGGACATGGATTTGAGCCCTGGTCCAGGAAGACCCCGCATGCCACGGACCAACTAAGCCTGTGCACCACAAGTACTGAGCCTGTGCTCTAGAGCCCGCGAGCCACAACTACACTGAGCGTATGTGCCACAACTACTGAAGCCCGCATGCCTAGAGCCTGTGCTCCGCAACAATAGAAGCCATCACACTGAGAAGCCCGTGCCGCAACAAAAAGAGTAGCCCCCGCTTGCCACAAGTAGGGAAACCCTGTGCGCAGCAACGAAGACCCAATGCAGCCATCGCAGCAACGAAGACCCAATCCAGCCATAAATAAATAAATTAATAAATTTATTTATTTTTAAAAGTTAGTGATTCAGTGGGAAGAATATTTCATCAATACCTTACAGAAAGCAAGGTAGGTAGCAAGAAATCCCATGGATATATAAAACCAAAGCAAAAAACACCTGTAATCTTGCTTGAAATCATAACTAATACATTTTCAAAAGTTCTTAAATTTTCCCTCTAGGGAATTTAGAAGACAATCTAACTAGAACAAAAAAGTTTATGCCATCAGTCCCTTTGTCAGTCCATGTGAGAATACAATATAATGATAATCTAATAATGGAAAATTGTAACATTTTATTACAGCTACTCAAGTGGCTATACTTTTATACCATAGTTACCTGGATTGTATTTCATTTTAATTTTAGGATCCAGCAATTTCAGGAAATGAAACGAAGCCTTACCCTGCCTTTGAAAGAGGACAAGAGAAAGATGTCTTTGTCAAATGGCCTAACACCAATGACATTTGTTGGGCAAAGGTACTGAATTGATATCTTGAAAGAAAATAAGTATAAAAATACTATTTGAAAGCTTCTATTTAATTAAGCCACAGTTAAAAACATATTCAGATGGAGAGATGTAATGACTTAATAAGTAATAAATAAAATAATACTCTTTGAGTTCAATCCAAATTATTAGAAACAAAGAAAATTTATATGTCCTATGTCCAAATACTATTTGTTTCATCTTTAAATTGTCTTCTATTGTATTTCTTGGTACTTCTTGTGTTTTATTACAAAACTGACATTAATAATATGGTTATTCGCTATTCTATACTACATGGGTCATTTAAATGTTTGTACTTCTCTTAAAAACATCTCATTGATAAAAGAAACAATGTTTGTAAAAGCTATACTTGTAGTATTCCTGACTTGAACAGGGAATATAATTCATTGTATTTCATTTAAGCAATAATATCCCAACCTGTGTATATTAACACATTATAGAAAGCATCCTGATTTGGCTTATATATAAAGAGTGAAGAAAAAATCCACTAGTTATAACTAGAATGAAAAAGATCCCATAATGGGACATGTAATTAAATGAAATATGGGAGCCTTTTTGGATCTTGGACTAAAAATAGAATGTTAGTGATAAAAGTGGTGAAATTCGAACATGGACTGTAGATTAGTTAATAATGTTCTACTAATGTTAATTTCTTGGTTTTGATAATTGTACAGTGGTTATAAATATGTTAATATTAGGGGAAGAACAGTGAAGTGTATAGAAAAACACTAGGTATAATATTTGTGATGTTTATATAAGTCTGAAAATATTTCAAAATAAAAAGGTAAAAATAAAATAGAAAAACAAGTGATAAACAGTGAAAACTCATGTTTTAAGAAACATTACAGGTATACAGTACTGACTATAGAAAGGGATTTTTTTTCTTCTTACTTTCTCCTCATTTTATATTTTCTCATTCTATACATTTTCTCAGATTTCTACCTTTCAAGCACTGTTCTCTATCAGCAACTAATTCCTTGTATGTAATTACCACTCTGTGGATTATTTACATTTTTATATGGGACTTTCTAATTTCTACAACATAGATTTAAATCCCAGAGCTTTTGGCCTGATTGAATCTGGGCTCTGTTCTGTGTTTGTGGTTGCGGTAGAAGAAAACATTGGTAGGCAGGGGGGCAGGGGCGGGAGTAGTAGGTGTGTGGGAAAGAGGAGGATTTAGTACTAACTGAAAAAACCAAGAAGATATTTGCCTCAGCATGGCATCATACAACTCAGATCTTCAATTCCTTTCATATAACAATATATTTTTGTTTTTAGATTTTAATCCTGGAGTAATTATAGAAATTATACCACATTAAATGTGGTATAGAATTATACCACATTAAATTAAATTTAGAATATGCTTTTCATATTAATTCTTGACCAGACCTTTTGGTTACATGCATTGTTTGCAAAATCGCTACTGACCACAAAGGATGGTATTCTTTTCCTTATTTGCCCTACTAAAGAGGAGATTAATATGGAAAATGGGAATAGTTTGCAAATGATACATATACCATAACACAAACTGAAAAAAAATAATTGAAGGAATTACTGATCTGGGGATCTTGAGTCTGTAATATGATTCTAAAACTCTATTACACTTTGTTTACAACAGTCATACCACACTGAATTTATTTTGAAATGGTTTCCCATTTCTTCTCTCTTTGTAGGTTTGGCCAGATTTGCCAAATGTAACAAAAGATGAAAGTCTAATAGATGAAGCTGTTAATGTAAGTTTCATATTGATTAACTATTTAACTGAAAGAAATTCAACACTGAGATTTAATGACAACTTTGACCAATAATTCAATTTTAATACTTTCCTTAAAAAAGTGATGGCTGGGGCTTCCCTGGTGGCGCAGTTGTTGAGAGTCCGCCTGCCGATGCAGGGGACATGGGTTCGTGCCCCAGTCCGGGAGGATCTCACATGCCGTGGAGCAGCTGGGCCCGTGAGCCATGGCCGCTGAAACTGCACGTCTGGAGCCTGTGCTCCACAGTGGGAGAGGCCACAACAGTGAGAGGCCTGCATACCGCAAAAAAAAAAAAAAAA